ACATGGATTTTGATATATTTTTCATATATACATATATATGATATATATAAATATATGCAAAATGCATGTGGGTACTCAAATGAAAGCTCTTGATGAGCGTAACGTCAGGATGAGCTTACATCTTTAAAAATATCAATAATTAGGAAATGACCTTGTATCTTGTCAACTACTGACATTTTTAAAGATATAAGCTCATCTCGACATTACACTCATTAAGACCTTTCATTTGAGTACCCACATCTATTTTTCATATATTTATATATATGTATATATGAAAAATATATGAAAAATTGATGTGGGTACTCAAATGAAAGCTCTTGATAAGTGTAACATCAGGATGAGCTTATATCTTCATAAATGTCAATTTTATCGATATTTGCACAATTAATTTTTAAAATTTTGTACATCTTTTTATCTATGAATAATATCGCTTGAATAAACATGACTTTTTTTTGTAAAAAATTCAATTTTCTACCAAACTGCTTTATTCAATTTTCCTGTAATTGTATCCATTTAACCCGAAAATGCAAAAATCTTTTTTTCTTACATAAAATACATATCTATAGTTATCTGCATATACCAAAATATATGAGTTGACATCAATCGACTATAAGTACTTTCAAAGAGTATCTTATTGTCTGCAAATTGCGCTTAAATTTATTTTACAGGTCATTAAATATTAGAAAAAGAAAAACTCAAATATTTAAAATAAAATTTCAGAATGTCCAAAAGGAACTTGGGGTATCTCATGCCAACAAACATGCAGTTGCGGGACTAAGGGTCTCTGCAGCAGGATCAACGGAACTTGTCGCTGTCTGCCGGGATGGAGAGGCTCTAAGTAATCCATACGCTTATTGTCCATCAATCATTTACTCCCTCATTTAAATTCAACCTCATATCCTCATACCATCCACCTATACATACAAACAATAAAACCAAAATTCGGGAATTTTCATCCTCAATCTCTAGTCTTATATTTTAATTTCATTGTTTCCAACCAAATCCTCTGATCTGAACTTGCAGTTGCACAGACAAATGTCCACCTGGAAAATGGGGTCACGATTGCTCGGTACCATGTTCCTGCATCAATGGATTTTGCCATCATGAAACCGGAGAATGTACATCAACTAATACTACCTCGGAAATCCATCAATTATTCGTAACTGAGAACAACGAGAGGCATAAAACCAGTGTCACCCCCAAAGAGACAACTAAATCGCAGGTGAATGGAATAAATAGTCCTGGTGATAATTATAATTTAATACCCGATAATTCAGAGCTGAAACTAGGTGAGTAACCACATATAAAATGCTAATTTTTATTTATAATTATTTACATCGCTTTCACTTGGCGCAAATCATTCTAAATAATTATTTTTTTTATTACTCTTTATTTTATCATCAGTGATATAATTATTTACAATTTTCTTAATTAGTATCGACCGATCTAAATATCACTCTATTTTTTTAATTATTATTTATACTCGCACTAAGTAAGCAATTAAATTACGCAATTTTCCCGGATTGAAATCAGAATTTAACGCTAAAAATTCAACCATTGCTTCCATTTTCGTCTGAATTATTATACGCCAAGTTTTATTTTATTTCCGAGGCACTAAATTTAACTCTTTAAAACTTTCCTATCAGCATGTAGAATATAAATAGAATGGTAAAAATGCGGACGGTAATTTATTATGAAAACTAGGCTATAAATTTATGAGTTGCATTAACAAAAGCATAACAACAGCCGGCAGTGAGATTTCCACTGAAATGACATCGAAATTGGAATTGCCAGCAATTAACTCAGTAATTACTACAACGAACAAAGGTACACCTACGACTTCGTCAAATGCATTTGCGACTACAACAGACTCGGCGACGGTGACGAAGGTCGATACGTCAACATCAACATCGGACTCTATGTCAACATCAATTTCTACGTCAACATCAACAACCCGTCCAATCGTCGCGGTTTTACACGTTCCGCGAAAACCCAATAGTAACCAAATCATTACGAGCTCCATTGGCACAGGTACTTTGTTCATTTTTATAGCATGATTCATAATGCGGAGCATTAGAGAGTCCTTTATGATTAATAATTAATTGATTAGGAAACTTATCGTCTCTTTTATGCGAATTTTTTTATTTTTATGCTCTTGTTAGTGAACGGAACCGATAAAATGAACTTGATTCAATTTTTTTTTTATTCAATAAATTTTACTTGATTAAAAAATTTAACTGTTCTTTAAAATGATATTCAATTAAATTAAGTTAATTTGTTTTATTTAAATATACTACCCGTAAAAAAATTTTTCTGATATGGTCGGACATAAAAATTGGCCGTACAAAACCACATATAGTCACATTTGGACATATTTAAAAAAAGTGCTGAAATTTTCCGACAGATGGCGCATAATCGTTAAATCTTCTCCTTAGAAGAGAGTTAAGTTTCAGAAATTAAGCAGGAAATATAAATCAACAATATTATATACAAAACTTGTATCTCTGTAAATATATTAATAAAGACAATAGTAATAATTTTCTTTTCTAAGATTGGTTTTCAGTTTAATCAAATAATAAATCAATTTTTATTTAATAAAATATGGTAATTGATAATTACCAAACTTATTAAAATGTAATGGATACGAGAAAATTCTTTAATCAAATGAAATTTACTTAAATCAAGTGAAATTTCTTAGTTTAAAAATTTTGCAACTCAAACCAAGAAGATAAAATTCTTCAAAATCATTTACTTGAATCATGTAATTTTTTTTTCTGTGCAGATATAGCCATTTGTCCTGCAAGCTTCGCATGTGCGTTATTTTATTATTACTTGTTGCTGCTAACCAATCTAGCCCTAAAAAAGTCCTCCTATTTTTGAAAAAAAAACTATGCTAAATAATGCTCCATACTAATGAATAAATCAGCTTTGAACATTAAACTTTACATAATAAACATAAACATAATACCCTTACTCAGAGAGTTCGCGCTGATTATATCAAAGATGTATATATTTATAAATTAAAAAATCTTTATACACAGAAAAAAAATTTACTTGAATTAAGTAAATAATTTTTAAGAATTTTATCTTTCGATTTGAGTGAAAAAATTCTTAAACTAAGAAATTTTTCTTGGTTTAAGAATTTTTCTCTTGATTCAAGTTAATTATTTTTTCTGTATAAATTAAATATATTTATACCTTATGTAAAATAAAAAATAAATTATTACTGTTAAAAATTTTTTTTCATTATATATAATTCATCTTTTCAGGATTACACGACTCGCTGGAAGCGGATAAAATTCCGGTTCACGTTCCGATGTCATTAGATATCATAGCGTTTATCGTTATAGGGTCAATAATATCTCTGGGGCTGACAATAATGGCAGCGCTCGCTATTCTTCACGTTCGAGCAAAACTTTACGAGACTCTTAGAGTCTCGATTTACGACACAGAAAAATTCCCCGGAGATCATAACACTAACAGTAACACGTTTTCTGCAAGGACAAGAACGATGTCACCTATTCCGCCGACTCCGACGCCAAAATTCCCGACGTTGACGCGCGAAAAAGGCGCCGACGTACACACGATTAGTCGCAATAGTCACATACTTACGCCCGTACGTGATTATGGTAAGCTTTTTTATTTTCTATCACAAAAATTTGAAATAAAAATTCTTCTATAATATTATAGCTTCATTAATTACTATTTTTATTAGACTAATAAGCTTTAAAGTTGTTATAAAAAAAATTAAATTAACTTCTCAAGAGTTACTTTAAAAATGACGCAAGCGAATTAATTAATGAACTTTATTATTATTAATTCAGCAACAACATACACACATATGTTTGCAAAGTTACCAGTTGTAAATTTGAGTAACTCTTTTATAGCCGTAAGAGTTGACTTATGTACCTTGTATTGCGAGTTTGTTCTAAAACATTAAAATATGCCGTTATGACACACTAGGATTGACGAGTAATATTTCGAAATATGATCGTACATTATACTACACATAACATAAATATATTAAGTATAATATACGATATTTACTGCAATGCTAATAAGCGAGTAAACTCTTGGCTGCAACTTTGTTTCAACAACTGGCTACACATCAATCCTTCTTTATTATTATTATTATTATTATTATTATCGATATAATTATTACTCACTCCGATATACAGATGTTAAATGACCCACCTCCCGAGTCGGCGATTAACTATTTTTATCGAGTGAAAAAATCAAAGCGAATTATATTTAAGTGAAAGATAGAAATATTAAATAATTGTTAAATTACGTACTTCCGCTTTTTATTTACTCCCCGACGTTTTACTTTTTTTTTATCTTTTTCTTCGCACTATTAATTTAATGATAATAAAATAAACGTTGATATTTTAAATTTAATAATATTATTTTATTTATTTAGTTAATTTTGATTGTTTGTTTTAGAAATTCCCAGGTGTATTATTCCGGAACGACCCGGAACTTTACCGAAATCAAATTCTGTAGCACGTGAATCAACTTGCTCTAATCAATATCTAAATATTCATTTATGCAGTGATTTACGAGGTAATTATTGTCAAGAAATTTTTTTTGAAAAATAATAATAATAATCTAGATTATTAAGAGAATTAGCAAAATTTTGTGGCCGGTGTATTTATATAATAAAATGGGGTTTTATGGTTAAATTTAGTATCGTTGGAAAAGTCTTGACTTGAATTTGTTCTTTTTCAAGGTTTCATATCATTCTCACCAATAGTCAATTTATGATGATAAGTATTTAGGCTGAATTTGAAAATGCTCTATCTCTAGGTACATAATTAAGAAATGACCTTGTATCTTGTGAACTATTGACATTTTTAAAGATATAAGCTCATCCTGATGTTACACTTATCGAGACCTTTCATTTAAGTACCCACATCAATTTTTCATATATTTATATATATTATATATATGTATATATGAAAAATATAAAAAAATGCATGTGGGTACTCAAATGAAAGCTCTTGATGAGTGTAACATCAGGATGAGTTTATATCTTTAAAAACGTCAATATTTAAGAAAATACAGTGCAATTTTACATAATTGAGAAATGATCTTGTATCTCGTGAACTATTGACATTTTTAAAGATATAAGCTCATCCCGATGTTACACTTATCGAGACCTTTCATTTAAGTACCCACATCAATTTTTCATATATTTATATATATTATATATATGCATATATGAAAAATATAAAAAAATGCATGTGGGTACTCAAATGAAAGCTATTGATGAGTGTAACATCGG